AGGATCTAGTGGGGTGTTTTTCCATTACTGGTAAGAGGAATCTAGTGGGGTGTTTTACCATTACTGATAAGAGGAATCTAGTGGGGTGTTTTTCTATTACTGATAAGACGAATCTAGTGGGGTGTTTTACCATTACTGATAACAGGAATCTAGTGGGGTGTTTTACCATTACTGATAAGAGGAATCTCGTGGGTTTTTTTCCATTACTGGTATGAGGAATCTAGTAGGGTGTTTTACCATTACTGATAGGAGGAATCTAGTGGGTTTTTTTCCATTACTCGTATGAGAAATCTAGTAGGGTATTTTACCATTACTGATAAGAGAAATCTCGTGGTGTTTTACCATTACTGGTAAAAAGAATCTAGTGTGGTGTTTTCCTATTACTGGTAAGAGAAATCTAGTGTGGTGTTTTCCCATTACTGGTAAGAGGAATCTAGTGTGGTGTTTTACCATTACTGATAAGAGGAATCTAGTGGGGTGTTTTACCATTACTGATAAGAGGAATCTAGTGGGGTGTTTTACCATTACTGATAAGAGGAATCTAGTGGGGTGTTTTACCATTACTGATTAGAGGAATCTCGTGGTGTTTTACCATTACTGGTAAGAAGAATCTAGTGTGGTGTTTTTTCCATTACTGGTATCAGGAATCTAGTGCGATGTTTTTCCATTACTGGTAAGAGGAATCTATAGGGTGTTTTACCATTACTGATAAGAGGAATCTCGTGGTGTTTTACTATTACTGGTAAAAAGAATCTAGTGTGGTGTTTTCCTATTACTGGTAAGAGAAATCTAGTGTGTTGTTTTCCCATTACTGGTAAGAGGAATCTAGTGTGGTGTTTTACCATTACTGATAAGAGGAATCTAGTGGGGTGTTTTTCCATTACTGGTAAAAGGAATCTAGTGAAATGTTTTCTTATTACTGGTAAGAGGAATCTAGTGCGATGTTTTCCCATTACTGATAAGAGGAATCTAGTGCGATGTTTTTTCCATTACTGATAAGAGGAATCTAGTGGGGTGTTTTATCATTACTGGTAAGAGGAATCTAGTGCGATGTTTTTCCATTACTGATAAGAGGAATCTAGTGGGGTGTTTTACCATTACTGGTAAGAGGAATCTAGTGGTGTGTTTTACCATTACTGATAAGAGGAATCTAGTGCGATGTTTTTCCATTACTGATAAGAGGAATCTAGTGCAATGTTTTTCCATTACTGATAAGAGGAATCTAGTGGGGTGTTTTACCATTACTTAAAGAGAAACTCTCTGAGTTGCCATGGCTATGAATTCATTACATTCAAGACATCAATGCGAAATAAATGTAGACATGAAGTTATTTTATTATAATTTGTGCTCATTGAGTTGTGTTTAGTAAGACAAATTATACGTGGCGTCATTCCAGAGAATCACTTTGACGAATGTTGTTTTTGCAGTAGCAGTACTTGGCAATACTTGGATATTTCTCAGATACACACTTAGCTTGGTTGCCATATATATTGATACGACTAATCTCCAGACCGACATCACAGGGTTGTTCTTCATTGTTAACGTGGTCCACGTGGATTGTCCCTTCAAATAAGCCATGACCCGGGATCGTTTCTATGGTTACCTGATAGTCAATTTTTATATCGTTGATGTCAACGTCAGCATGCTCGCCAAACCCAGGAATTGATTGGTCACCGTCAACACTTCCGGTATATCTCAGTACCTGAAACGACAATATCAATCTAATTGACTGCACCATAGTTAGGGGAAGCATAAGAAGAGTCAAATAATGAATTCGTGACAATATTCAGTGGAGATGACCAACAATAAACAGTATTATTAAAATATTCGATATATCGTATATATTCCATATACATAGTAATGACAATTTAGTGTGTGGGATTTGTGAAGTATCATAACGGTTTAACATTAACGATGTATGACGAAGACATAAATCTTATTATCTTTTTTATTGGGAGCATTTATTTCCCATGTGTGACAGTAATTATTTTGCATTGTGATGTAAACATATTACCCATGGTTATTAGAGGAACTCGTTCCTCCCTTGGGTCATGTTGAACATATTCAGTAATAGACAGAAATATGTTGGATTATGATGCAAATATATCTCCTTTAGGGGCACTAATTTCCGTGTGTTATGTTGAAAGTACTCAGTAATGCACATTAATTATGTTTCATTATGACGTAACGTAGTACCTTGTCATTGGGAACACTCATTTCTCCATTTGTAATGTTGAATATACTCAGTAATGCACAGTATTCTCTGAATGGTTCAGTTATATTGTTAATACGGTTTAGAAAAGCAGCAGCAGGTCTCCGAATCTGAGAATGAAATATTTAGATAGAGTATACTGACAGACTATACTGTATTTATTTGGTGTTCACTTTTCTAAGCATTGTCATACCTATTTAACAGTAAGACTAGCTATATTTTCAAAGCAACACACGTATAGTAAATAGGGTTGAGTATTTTAAATTATGTATGTTTAGTATAGCATGATGATGGTGCACAGTAGATTGTACAATGGACGTGCTAGAACGTCAAAGATTATATTATATCTTCAAAGCAGCACAAACAATGAGTTTTTCTTAATGAAACAATGACCTTCACAATGAATACCACGGTACACCTGCGTTTGTTATATCTTCATTACGGAAAGTCATTATTCCCAAACGAAAGCAAGGCCACTGCTGTTTGAATAAGTCATCTCTATGTAAAGCTAAAGCTATCTTATGTTCATCGATAATTATATTTGATATAGATATGACATTATGTGATGTACATATATGTCATATTAATCTCCATTACATAATGTCATCTACATCACGTAATGCCTTATTTACACCACACAATGTGGCAAGTATTAGTATACCACATACGAACATATATCACGTAATGATCTATATCCACCATATAATGTTATATCTACACCATGTGATGGCATGTATGCATCACATAATATAATCGGTGGACACACATTTTAGCAATCATGGAAGGTATTAGTTATATATTGACTGGGTTATTGTACTAACCTCCATAGAACTAAGTGACACGGGAATCCACTTAAGACATGTACACCAATGAGTATCAACTCCAGCGTCTTCACATGTGCGTGAAAATGGGATTTGTTTAAATAAACTAATACCTTTTCCACTGACTGTGTCATCAGAATAATTTAAAATGTGTTGAAATGTTGCATGTATATCATATGGTGTGGTCAATTTTTCTGCGTTTGCCTGCAATTGTTCGTACAGCTCAGGATGTAAATCTCGCAACTTCTTTGGTATGAAAACACTCATAAATGGAAGTCTTTCTTCTAGCTTCCCCTGCATTGTATTTCTGATACCGGAGTACCTCGCACCATGGTCACCGAACAGGAAGTGTATGGTGTTCTCAAGGTGTCCTCCCTCGTATAGCGATTTTAAGTAACGTTCCAAGTCGCGGTCAGCCCAGCCAAGATTGTTGATGTTGTCATGTGATATCTCAGATAGAAACATGAAACCAAATCTTCTAACCCATGGATCATACTGAGTTTGGAATTGTCTAAGGTAGTTAAACATCACCTCGTGTTCCTTTCTGGAACCCTCACAGATTTTGGGGTTCGAAATAAAATTATAGCCAGGCGTTAGAGCGACAGACTTGAGCCAATATGTTCTCATATAATGATCTGTGGGTTTCTCAATAAATCCAATAAATTGCCGATTAAATGTGCTTATATGTGGAGAGTCCTCAGCAAGTAACGTCACGTAACCTCTTTCCTTGTACGTCTTCCAGATAAGTGGATACACTTGAACAGACGTGGCGCCGTCATGACCTTGTCTTGTTTCGGGTAAATCCTCCCATTTCTCCCCGGTTAACATTGGTATCAGGGCTTCGGCTGTAGCGTCCCCAACGATATTGTACCCCCTAAGAACTACTGCTTCCAATGTTTTCGTTAGAAATTGATATGATTTTGGCATTTGTCGAAGGAAATTCATAGAGGACATTGACTCTAATCCCAACGCGATGATATTTACATCTAGCGCTGACTGCGTCATTGGACTGGATGCCCTTGCTAATTTCAATGCCTCCTGGTCACGTGCAATTCCTGGGTGCATTTCAGAATTCACAAAATCTACATTATAATTATTGGTGGCGTCATAAACACACCTAACGCCAACATAATCCATAGTTATTTTATCAATCAAAAGGAAATCCTCGCTGAAATCCGTCCCATTTTTAAATTTGATGACAGTGGTGTTGCTAAAGAACGTGATAGCATCGTCTTTACGTAGCACATAGCCGAACGTGCATGAGGTTAAATTTCTACCCGCCAACACTGTATGATTGATGTAAAGAGAGCCTGTCTCTGTGAGGTAGGTTAAATCGCCGTGCCCATTTATTGACTCGCAATTTAATGGGTCTTTAATCTCAATAAGATGATTTATGCTACGATGATATGGGTTTAATTTGGGAATTTTACAAACTGGCTCATTTTTAAAGGGCTTATCCTTTTCTATGCCACCCGATTCTACATAAATATCATTCTGTTTTTCTGCCTCGCTGTCAGTAGGTAAAAGTGTTTGTGCGTTTCCAAAATTGTTTTCGTATTTCACGTCCTTGATAAGTACATTCTCTCGATTGGCCTCGTTAGTGCTATATTTATTCCCCACCACTCTTCTGATGGTGCTGCCATTGGCATAACGTTTACCAGACATGATGTCATTATGGCGTTGATTATCTTTAAATCTCCATGCCACAGTCTCTACCATACCATGACATGGCACAGAACATAGTGAACCCAATTGCTTCATATTGATTAATATCAACGCAATTCCAATCACAATGACGATAACGATGAGTTGCCGAGGTGACATCATAATGTTTCTAGTCCAGTTAACAATGATATTGACAACCTGAATGAAAATGAATGAAACATTGAGTCATTTTGAATATATCCAAGAATATCAACCCTACGACCACTGCGAGTATTGTGTTGTATGAGTTCGCACGAGTAATTGTACGAAGAATGTGGTGCTGTGTGAGTCAAACGTAACATGCTTTGGAAGGGTAATAATATGACACCAAAAAAAGTTAAAAAAAAATAATCAGAACTAAATTGCAAGACAATTATTTTAAAGAATGGAAGAACAAATTAAACAATGAAAATAACCTGTTCATCATTGTCATTATTTAATGTTTTGTTCCATTCTGTGTTAGCAACAAACTCACAGACAAGTTAAAAATTGTTTGCGAACTATAAAATTTGAAGAACAATTACTAAATTAAGAATTTACTAATAACTTACACGTTGCATATACGGTGTTTTTATATTTATTTACTAATAACTCGTAGGATTAAAGTACAGCAATTTTATTTTCATTTAATATAAAATATGAACAACTACCCGATTTTGTTGTCTTGTCGTTATATAATTAATTATTCGTTTAGAAGACCTACGATTATGGTCATCATCTCGTGAATTACATTCAGCCTTCGGTCACGTGACTTTTATAAGACGGCGACATCACACAGAATGCAAACTCAATGCTTTATGTGACAATGTCCACTGTTATAAATCCACGAACATATCACCGTGTCCGTACTTCGATAGTATTTTCTGTTGTCGGAAAGTCGATAAATGAGCATTTAGGAGTTGGGGGTGATCGAAGGTTCAATCGTAAATTGTTAAGTTTGTTTGTTCATGATGTTAAAATGTTTGACATGTTGAAATCTGACATACCTTTATATATTTATTATTGACCTATATAGATAAGGATAAGACACTGGGGCAAATAACAAAGGATATCATGTTTACTGCACAAGCTTGGTTATACCATGGACTACCCTTCAGGGTTAAACTAACTGTAATGTATAATTGGTTTATTCATGCTTAATCTATGACTGACAAACGACTCTAGATGTGGAAACAATGCAATATTTTGAATATTCTGTCTTAAAATAACATTCTGGGTGTTATAGTTACAGTTTGCATCAAACGAAAAGCCCCCTAAACTAGTTGCTTATATTTCATCTTTGGGGGTTTTATCATATACACACCAACATGTGACCGATATCGTGTCGTCTTGTGCGAAAAGACGGCATTTGACAGCAATGTCCCACTAGTATAGCCAAATCCCATTATTCCTCTTAGTTAGTTAGTTAGTTGAACTTGGTGTAAACGTTCTTCTTATCATCGACAACCGAATTCTTTTTCGTCTTACTTACCTGTGATAGCTTGACTTACACAGCTCAAATGAAGACTTCGTC